CTCCTCCCTCCCCTCCCCCCTCCCTCCCTCCCTCCTCTCTCTCTCTCTCTTCTCTCTCTCTCTCTCTCTCTCTCACTCTTTCTCTCTCCTTTCGCGCGCTCTCTCTCTCTCTCTTTCTCTCTCTCTCTCTCTCTCTCTCTCTCTCTCTCTCTCTCTCTCTCGCTCTCTCTCTCTCTCTCTCTCTCTCTCTCTCTCTCTCTCTCTCTCTCTCTCTTCCTCTCTCTCTCTCTCTCTCTCTCTCTCCCTCTCTTCCCCTCGCTCTCTCTCTCCCTCTCTCTCAATTTCTCTCTTTCTCGAGGCGGTAGCGCTGCCGGACGAGGCTGTACGACTGATTGTCTTACAGACGTCTGATTGTCTATCAGACTGATTGTCTGATGGTCTTCTAACCCTAGCCAACCGTTTCGTGGGCTAGCAAGGCGGTTAACGTTTTTATATAACTTCACATAAATGTTTATACTATATATGTTTAATATCGGGTGGCACTCTGGCAGCCATGTTTATACTATGTTAACTCGGTTACCCAGCAGCGGCCAGCGATGGTAGAAAATTATGAGAAAATTGCCTCTAAAAAGCTGCTTGTCCAGCAGACAAGCTACCTGCACAAATCTACTTGTCCTCCGTGGAAATGCGACAAGTACGAACAAACGGATAGCCCTTATTTCAAACACTGGGATGTATCAGGAGCCTTCTCGGAGAAATGTTCGTTGGGATCGTTATGAAAGTTGCCACGAGATGGCGCGTACGTTGGTAGCTGGAGCTTCCATCGTACGTAGTATAGTAACAACTATTTGCCAGAGAGAGAATAGGTAAGCACTCGTCCATTTACCTACACAACCTACAGGCTGAATAGAGAGCTGCCACCTGTACCTAATTAACGCAGGCAAAAACTACACCATACTATCACCACCACATGCACTGGCAGCGGCCACTGGCAGTGGCATAATTATTAAGTTACATGTAACATACTGACAGTACAGAATGCCATAGAAATTATACGATTTAAGGAGCATAAACCTTCTTCAACCAAATTTAGCTTTTGAAATTTCACTGTGACATTGTAGCCTCATACATCCAGGCATGTATAGATTCTACTAGCAAACCCAGCAGTCAAATTCTTTCTAACAGACAGTAACAGTAAATAAATCCATGTTTAACCCTCCTCTTGAGGGTCAAAAGGTTATCCGACACTTACTCTTCGCATGTCAGTGGAAGCACATTTCATGGTCCTTTCAATAAAGCCATAAAAATGCTAGGTCACCGCTGAAACAAAAAAAGTTTTTCAATCGCTCCGTCACACCATGTCCTCAGAAAATGTCTAAAATCTGCCCTGTGCCCCATTGACCTTTGACGCTGTGACCTCCAATTTCGGCACAGTGATGGCTTTTCCTACCATGATGCTATACACGGACTATCACGAGCCTAGGTCGAGCCGTTTAGATTTGTGCCGCAATTCTGCATTTCCTCCTATACTTAAGTGAAGGAGGGAATGTTCCCCCTTTTTACAACCTCTTGACCTTTGACCTTTGACCCCCCTGCTTCGACATCCCAACTCGTTTTCGGATTACCCCCCCACGTCCCGAATATCGGGACCGTACGTCGAGCCGTTTAGATTTGTGCCCAACTGTTGACGGATACGGACGGACGCTCGCACGGACGGACGATCATGCGATTCTACAAGCTGCATCTGACTTAGCTCTAGTACTATAGCCCGCGGATCGCTGCCGCAGGGCTATAGCACATTCTGCCATAGATGTAATCTAAGCAAATGGTCCAACTGATGTGACCAAAAATTTATCCCAAAAACGTAAAATGATCGGGCTTTTTAACACTTATCTATCAACATGGACATCTCACCTATCTTTTGAACACTTCCACAACTTTACACCAGGTGTTTAATGCTGTTATTCCTCAAAGTCTTAGCACTGAAGAGTCACGCGTGCACACATAAGCAGAGCAACCGCATTTGAAAACAAAACACCAGTAGTGCTAAGACTTTGAGGAATAACAGCATAAATACCTGGTGTAAAGTTGTGGAAGTGTTCAAAAAGATAGGTGAGATGTCCATGTTGATAGATAAGTGTTAAAAAGCCGATCATTTTACGTTTTGGGGATAATTTTGGTCACATCAGTTGGACCATTTGCTTAGATTACATCTATGGCAGAATGTGCTATAGCCCTGCGGCAGCGATCCGCGGGCTATAGTACTAGAGCTACATCTGACTATGTCAGATGAGCTAAAAAGACACAAATGAGTGAGTGAGAAGAAGTCAGTTTTAATTGAGCAACCATCGACGTACATTATAGAAACGAAGAGTATATATGGGAGAACTCCCATTATATACTCTTAATAATTATGTGTAATTTTTTATGTGAAAATAAATGTTTGAGATGTGAGTCTGAGATGTGGGCGAGTGATGGCGTTACACCTAAATGATCGGCCATTTAACGTTTTTTATAATATTCAGATTTAGGCACTGCCTAAAAGCGGAGCTCCGATGTGTAACGTGTAAGATTGAGAGCATACGCTTATTCCAGCGTAGCTGCTATATACCACGTGACAATGGTGTTTCCCTGCCTATAACACAACTTTTGTCAAAGGTTAATTGGTGGCTGGAGTGTTTACTTCGTATGACTTTCTAGGCGGTAGCACACGGTTGCCATCTGTATATCGCAATAATAAAATTATAAACCAAAATGAATCACAATTTGTGATGGTAGTGGCGCTATACCTGCTTTGATTGTTTCTTAGCGATGGCGTTCGAAATAAATAGGTTATGCTGCGTTCCGACATGTTTGTAAAACTTCTGGTGCTCTTGATTCGTTTGCCCCTGAGTTTAGCATCAGATCAGCTGCCGTCAGGTGAGCGCTGTCGCTCTGCGGCACTTGTTTTGTGGTGTGCTACAGTGTCATTGACACTTTCATTTTTAATAGGGTTAGGGTTACGGTCACAATGCACCATAAAACAAGAGTTTCAGGCACGTAATTTGTATCAACCAATGGGATTGGGGAGGTATGCAGGCCCTAGCTGCGTGGCAGGTGGGTGGCTGATAGTATCATAGGCGCCTAACAAAGGTGTCACTGCGCACGACTGAAATGTTACGTTTATAACCGTAGCAACAGACCTCAGATGAGCCCAGACGCTCTGCGGCTCTTGTTTTATTTACCTTTTGATGAGGGAGCTGTTGTGAACTGTCAGACAGAATGGGTTATTTAGTGACGAAACGACATTTGGGAGAATAGTTTTCCATGAAGGAAGGTTTGGCTTTCTCTGCAGGTTTATCTCAATATGACTCGATTAGGAACTTGTAGCATCCACCTAAAGAGTCGTGTTCGATGGGTTTTACCCCAGTGTGCTTGTCTCTTGCAGATATCAGATGCTGGTGGTGGAATTCCCAGGAGTCGGACAGACCTCCTCTTCCAGTACCTATACTCAACCGCTCCACGACCAGATAGCTCAGATGTCAATGTGTCAGCACCGCTGGCTGGCTATGGATATGGACTACCGCTGTCACGCCTCTATGCTCGCTACTTTCAAGGTGATCTACAGCTGTACAGTTCGGAGGGCTATGGATCGGATGCCATGGTCTACCTAAAGGTGTGTGGGCTCTCTCCGTGATATCTAACCCTGCTTCTTTTGTTGTATGGCTCTGTTTTGGTGAAGTCCATATTAACATCAGCAGAATGTATTTGCTTATTTAGACGAATGCCCGTTGGCATGCCATGTCACGGCATTGCAATTCCCTTGTGCCCTGCACATGTGAGAATGCTGGAGCGGAAATGTGTAATGCACCAAGCCTATGCAAGTTTTACCTAATGAATGAACTTGTGGAAATGTTGAGCACCGTGTTCGACTCGTGTTTCAGGCGCTGTCGAGTGAAGCCAATGAGCTGCTCCCCGTATTCAACAAGACGACAACAAAGTTTTACAAGCAGGGCATCACGATGTCGGACTGGACCTCATCGCAGTCTGTCTACTCGAACGGTAACGCTCGCGGCTTCAGCGCGCAGGCGGTGCGCTCGTACCGCACCGGCCCGTGTCGACAGCACTGTTTGACTGCAGGCGCCGCACTCGTCTGAGCACGGGCTGGAACTCGCCTGATGGATCCCCTGGCTGGACATGCTCCATGCGGCCCTGCACTTCAAGGGCTCTTGCTGCATTTACGCATTTGCGATATATGGTCTTACACGGTATACTAGAAGGCAGTAGAAGCTCGAAGGCAAATTAAAGCAAGCCCTCTGCGTCACATGTTCTCCCCATAGCGTAGTTTATTATAAGGACCAGTCATATCAGTGTGTGTGTGTGTGTGTTATGTGGAGTATGTGAATGTAGTGACTTATAAAGCACACATTTAATAGTTAGAAACTAAGAAGCCTACTTAATGGCTCGGAAGCTTTTCCATGTGTAGATGGGGAATATTGTCGTGTGACTTATTATCATGGTGATAAGACTTACCTTGTAACAGTGTTATATAGGCTCTGTAATTAGCTGGCTTCTTTGCGACCCGATGCTAAAATTGAAATACATGTGAGACAGGAGTAGATAATAGGGAAGGAGTGTGACTTCAATAAACAAGGGAAATTCGTCATTTACTAGCCTTAGAATACCTACGATTTAGAAGTAGATAATACTAATAGGGAAGGAGTGTGACTTCAATAAACAAGGGAAATTCGTCATTTACTAGCCTTAGAATACCTACGATTTACTACGTGTAACTCAACCAACTTGAGCTCAAATCGTACACAGTACATTCGCCTAGCATCGTGCGAAATCGTTTCCTCGTATACAACCGCAATCCGGAGATACAGACTAAAATGTACGACACGATTATCCATTCTGTTGCCATCAATCCGAATGTATTGTCCGCCTAACTTGAAACAAAAGGCAGCTACTAACGACTTTCTCGGCGAGGCGGTGTGGCTCGCTGGGAGATTGGCACGCTGCCGCTGAGCCGCAGAGCTGCTGCTGATTGCGGTGGGGGGCATACCAGCTGTAAATAGGTCAGAGATTAGCTCTCCGAGTGTTGCGTCGATGTCCAATCTCCCAGCGAGCCACACCACCTTGCCGAGAGAGTCGTTAGTAGCTGCCTTTTGTTTCAAGTTAGGCGGACAATACATTCGGATTGATGGCAACAGAATGGATAATCGTGTCGTACGTTTTAGTCTGTATCTCCGGATTGCGGGTGTATACGAGGAAACGATTTCGCACGATGCTAGGCGAATGTACTGTGTACGATTTGAGCTCAAGTTGGTTTAGTTACACGTAGTAAATCGTAGGTATTCTAAGGCTAGTAAATGACGAATTTCCCTTGTTTATTGAAGTTACACTCCTTCCCTATTATCCACTTCTGATATGAGAGTATCCTAACTTCCTGGAATCTGCTAAAAGCTTTAAACTCAAGGATAGTCACGTGTAGCTATTACCCGTTAGGTTTGTTTCTATCGTATGTGTAGCTTCGGCATTACTCTCCACATTTGGATATCCCTTGCGTACATGTCATAATGCTTGTGCTTAGTCCATTTTCTCGTATGTACCCGCAGTATATTTTGCTCAAGAGTGAGCACACTTTTGCATCACTTTTTTAAAAGTGTGCATTTGTATGAGCCGTCATCCGAGTGGCTTAAACGAGAGTTATAGGGTTTATGTTTGCATTGGTGAAACAAGTTGAGTCACTCCCGTTTGCTTGGTCCAGGCTCACTCATCTTTGATGTAGCTTCTATAGTCACAGCGTAGAGTCATAGATGAAGTTGTTAGCATCTTTTGGAGGCTTAAGGTATGTAATATATAACTATAGGTTTCTATTTCTTGTGAATTCTCGGAGTAGTGTCTGTTTGCTATTTGCTTTACTGGGCAAATACCTTTTTAACCAAAGCTAACTGCAATGTAGTTACTGTCACATTTGAGAGTTATGCTACTTGGGTGATAAAATCAAGAAATAGTTGTATCCTAATTCTAAATCAACACCTAAGTAACAAGCTACTCCTTCCTCTTGCAGCAATCATCCCATCAATTAACTCTTGGCTCCGAATAAACGGATGCAATTTTCAGTTCAGATTCCTTTTCCACTTACTAAACTCTTTAATGCTCTTAAAATGCACAATCTTCTCTGAAGTATTCCTTATTTTACGTTGATTAATGTATTTTATGTGGTCACTCCAAGTGTTATCATCCGAAGAACAGAGTGCCAATGTGCATATAGACTTCTCTTAGGTAACCATGACAACGTGCGTACAGCTTGGGGGAAATTCGTGCATGAATTTTTTGCCAGCAGCATTTATTGGCCAAAAGTTGCGTTCCTCTGGAGACTCGGTGGTGTGTGATATCCTCCTCACGTAAACGGACTGGATTTGTTGATGAGGTGATTGCATTGGACTGCGATGTAGAGTGAATGCTGAAAACCTTTACCCATATGCTTATACAGGTATTTCTTTTAAAAGCTCGTGTGTACGTTCACTGTATTTGGAGATCCACCATTTTTCACTGGCTATGATAGTTCCTGCCGGTTCCCTAAAAACTTAGCCATAATGAGAATGTCATGAGCCAGCAAAAGAGTGGTGCTGATGAGTGAGTGTAGGGTGCCAAAATGAGTTCATCAAAGTTTGGCAATACAGTGGCAGTCTTGAAAACCATCTATCTGGGTGTGGCGTGACAGCGCAGATGTAGCTTTATTCTGTAAAAACATGACTGTGCCTAATAATAAGCACATAGCCTAGCTTCTAGGAAGCAATAGCTTATCTGTGACCAAAGTATCCATAATAGAGGAAAGGAGAGAATTGTAAAAAGAAGCAGGTATGGCTTAGCAGTAGATTACTTTATTATAGTGATTAGTTTCTATTGCATGTGTTAGGTTCCCAGTTATATAGTTGTTACCTATGAAAGAGTGGTTCAAGAGGTAATAAGTCAGTTATGGAGTTGTTGCTGTTGGTGTTATTGTTGTTTTTGTCTTTCCGCAGTACGTTATCAATGCAATAAATGTTCTCGCCCCGATATGCATGATTAATGTTTACTGATAAGTATGTTCTGTTTGAAATGAACCGAGACCGTTTATTATTCGATTTTCAGTACAGGTGAAGAAGACCTAGTTCATGTTCATTGTCGCTTAGTTTGCACGCAGATTGAATAACAGAATTGAAAACATGGAAAAAAGAGAAGCTTTAGGTTGGCATCACTGATCTCTATATACTAACTGAACAGCGGTTAGCCAATCCACGGTCGGTGAGAAAGTAACACCACCGCGCCGCTGTCCGCCATCTTGCAACCACGCCCAAATGCGGAACTCTGCCGTGTGTACCCCATAACTTTGTCAAATGGGTATATATATATGTGCATTTATACAGCAAGAGAGACAAACGATGTGTTAGTCTCTACATAAGAGGTTTTGTCCGTGACATCACGAGTCACATGAATACTTGGCTCAGCCTATTGGCCTATTCTATGATAATACTTCTACTAGGACTGGTGTCATGGCATTTGGGGGCCACACCTAGTGGCCACCAAAAGCCATCTAATTGGTATATAAAGATCAGTGGTTGGCACTTTCACATGCATTTGTTAATCATTTGTTACTGAGTTCACAAATGTAAATACTTTATAGTAATGTATAGATTGAAAACGTATAAAGCAGGGAGACTACGGGTGTTAGGCTGAATTTGTTGCAGGTTTTTACTCAAGTTTAAGGTTTTTCTGCCTTTGGCACCTGACCCTTCGTATTGCAATGTTTCGGTTTTTAACACAGATGGAGGCAATCTGGAGTGGTTGTGCACTTCGTATTTTTACAGTTGCTGCAAACTGTAGAAAGTTGTTATATTCAACTTGGTAGCGATCCTAGCTGCATCTGCACTGCTGTCATATCACCTCTGTCAAGCATTATGCTTTCCTATCGATATTCTAAACGTTCAGTCATCTATCACGCATGAGCCTAGTAAATGCATTTAAAAGAGATACCAGGACTTACCTATATACAGTATCAAGAAAAATATGTTGGTAGCTGCATTTTGACAGTTGTGATACATAATGTAGAGTGTGTATTTGTGTAGATGTGTGATCGTGATTGTGTAGACGTTTGATCGCAAAGAAAGTTTGCAAAGCGAATAGTAGCAAAGTATGTATTTTTGTAAAGAGCAGTAAAGATGTGAGCAGGCAAACTGAATGTGGACTGCTAAATTTAGACTGTTGTGTAAGAACACATGTTAAATTATTTTAAGTCACTAAAATTCTTTGTTTTAATACCTGAGGTATTAATTTGTTTCTGGTTTTGCTCTGCTGAAATGGATACATTTTATTAATCTGCCCCAACGCCCACAAACTGCAGAAGTTAATAGAACAATACACTCAAATACACTGTTCATCAGTGTTTGTTAAACAAAGATTTTAATAATATAAAACTGATAAAGTAATAATACCAAACTTTACTTGTTCATTGGAACCATTTTAAAACTGTCAAACAGTGATGAAACCTCTTTTAAATTAGCTATAAACTTTAAAAGGCATTATCATTTAGAATGAAATCAACATTTAATCATTAGCACAAAACAAACATTTTTTCACATTCTTTCTATATAAGCTTAATACTATGATTTAAATATATAAAAGTATTATATTAAACTTTCCTTGTAAGGAACCTACACGTTTGAAAAAGCTTCTCAGTTTTTACCCTGCTATTTCTATTACTCTGCTGACAGCCTTGGCCTCCAAACACTGCATGGCACTGGGATCCTTTCATGTGGCTTGGTGAATCGTATTGGCACCAATAAGAATAACTCAAGGTATCTACAAGGGATTACATGCAGATGTCTAAGAACTCCTGTAAAATTATAGAAAAACTTTATAAGCTTGCTTACTTGTCACATTTGAGATTTCAACAATGTAAATTTCATTTATTAGCACTTGTTAAATCTTATTTAGTATATAACGGTGTGTATGCTACTCATAACCATTAATAACATCAGAAGATTTGTGAGTTAACAACGACTTACAGAATCGTATTTGTTTCCAACCTTGCTCTGTAGTAACTGAACATATTGAACAACCATCTCGAACACCGTGGCTCTGTCTGTCTTCCCTGAAACTCCGGGTACACAACTCTTCAGTGCCTCACAAGCTATGCTGATGCGCTTTCTGAGAAAGAACCACATTTATATAAAGTAGACTTGACGATCTGCAGCCCGGATATCCGCGCGAAGCGCGCAAACGCCGCGCAGCGGTGACACAATGACTTATTCGCTGCCCTATATTTAGAAAAATGTTCCCGAGGCCCTTATGGGTATAGGATAAAGCCGTATAATCGGTCAATTGAGGAGTTGTGGCGATTGCAGAAGCCTTTCGACTATGCACGTAGGGCGAGAATAAATCCAAATGCTCGTAATTGCTACTTTGCTGGTCGGCGCGTTTCCTTTTCGTCTAGAAAAGCGAGTTTGCATTTCTTCCGTTTCACGCCTTGAACTTATTCTCGTACATATGGCGTCCCATAGATGGCGCGACGAGGCTCTCTTCGAGGGATTTTCAAGGGAATTTTTCACACAAGGATCGGCGATCCAGCTTAGACTGCTCCGCGGTGGAGAGTTCCACACGCTGCACTAACTATAACTTTAGTGTAGCGAAAGATACTTGGCTCACTTAAGGTCCGTACCAGTCTAGCTGGAATCGTGACGTCCGATTCTAATTATCGTAGCCATCTTAGGACCCCTCACGTTCATTGGCTAAGCCCGTTGATTGATGTTTGTTTAGACTGAGAATTCCCACTAGACGTTATCTGGAAAAGCAGCAGCCGTATGTCTCTTATTACCCCCGATGGTGTGATGTTTGCGATGATGACGTCATACTTGAAGCATGTATATATAGCAGAGCAGAGTGCATTTCACAGTTACTTGAAATTGTTACCATAATCCATACATCACTATATGTTTCAAAGCTCTCAATTAATCATGGTACATCGTAACAATAACTTATTATAATAGTCTATTATACTATTGTAACTGGCAGGTTATCATATTATAATGCCTACCCTACCCCCATCATTTCACAATTGAAATATATGGCAATTCAATGATGTCACAAAAATCAGCAACCCATTTTAGCAAAGTACTATTGTTCAGTTAGTCATCTTAGCGGTTTCAATGAAATACAGCATGGACATTTTAGCTTGCATGCTGTTATTAGCTGCATTTAGATGCTGCGCATGCTAATAATTGGTACAATTGGTGGTCATACATTACCAGGGCTCGAATTAACCGACGGCACCGACGGCAATTGCC